ATGAAGAGCCAGCATCCTACCGTTCACTCTGCTGATTGTATCAATCAGAGCAGTAAGCTCGTCCAGAGCTCTCTTCTCAAAAGCCATCCGAGCAGACTGTTCATCAGCCAGAAGGCGCTGGAGCTCTGCCTTTTCGTCTCTGATTGAATCACGCTCAGTCTGCCAGACACTCTTTTCGAGCTGGAGGGCATCCTTCTCATCCTGAAGAGAGTCGTTTTCCTTCTTCAAAACATCTCTTTCTTGTTCGGTTTTTTCAAGCCGAGCCAATACCTCGGTATTCTTGCTGGCGAGAAGGTCGTTTTCCTTATTGGCCACCTCCAGGCTATCAGAAAACTTACGAGCCCTGGCGTTCCCCATTTCTACCTGCTTCTGCATAGCCATCATTCCGAACAAAGTCTGCATAGATATACATTAATAATGGTTAAACCGATAGTCTGGTCGGGCGAAGGCAAGACCAAATAATATGAGAGGATTCATGAGTTGGAAAATAAAAGTCACCTCCATGGCAGATTGGGGAAAGCGGCTGAACACATCCTTCTGGGATAGACCTTTCGCCGCCTCAAGGTCTTTCGGAGTCCACATGCTCCTATAATACGCCATGGCAGTCTGTCCATCCTTTAGTATGGTCTCGTTCGGCTTCACGAACGTCCCATCCGTTCGGGTGTACCGAGGAGCCCATGGTGGTAAAATGGGAAGAGAAGGAGAGCCTGAAGCAGAAGCAGAGGCACCAGCTGCAACAGGCCTGGAGGGGGCAGGAGCTCTGACCGGGCGATGCAAGAGAGCACCCGGCCCAGAGACCCGGGTCTTTCTTATGAGAGGTTCCTCCTCAGGGTCGACTCCACTGTCAGGATGAGGCCTTTTGGCTCGTTCTTTGTCCCGAGCGCCCCCAGCAGCAGCAGGGGCTGTAGTGATTTGTGGAGACGCGCTCAGGTTGGTAGCAGGGGTGCTGACAACAGAGTCAATAGCCACCGTGCTCGGGATGGTGTCAGAGATGGTGGCTGAGGAAGAGGCTAATGCAGGAGAGGAGGTTGCCCCAGCAGCAGAAGTGGCTGGGGGAGTATTTTTCTTCCTGCCAAAGGAGGGAATCTGAAGCTTGCTCATGTTATAGCCGAGGGATGAGAGCGCTAGGAGGTTGTCTGAGCAGGAAGGAATATCGTTCAGAACGTATTTCTTCAAGTAATTACTCCTATCCCTGCAAACACTGTAGCTCAAGTCATCACAAGGTATTCCTAAGGAGCGGCATAAGAAAGTACAAAAGCGAGGAACACATGTTTCGCAGGGGCAATCGTTTTTGTGAGATTTGAATTTCTTATATGAGGAAACAGAACAGACGCCAAAGGCGCTCGGGATTGGGTAATCCTCTGCAGCCGGCGAAGACCAAGCCCCACTAATGCCCACGATGTTATCCCTCCAACCCTTTTCAGATTTGATTGTGTTCGTACATATGGACATCTTCTCGATCGGGTAGAGGTGGTAGAAGGACTCGTTAGTTCAGATCTTACTAACCTTATAACACAGAAGAAGATCTATGAGGTCAAGGTCTAGACTTCTGTCACGAATCAACAGTAGCATAATGGATATGATTCTAAAGAAATTGGGGTTTACCTGCAGGGGGGATATCCCCAGTCTATTGAAGACATAATTAAAGAAGGGGTGCAGAGGGAACCTAACGACATTCAGTTGAAGGTTTGAAAATAAAACTTTGCCGGGAAGGAGGCCGGCACCGGTCATAATATTAACATCCTTAGGGCAAACCCTAACTTGGATGTTGTCAGGAAGTCTAAGTCTCATACGAAGAACATCTAGATCTACAACCATGGTGGAAGTGTTTGAAGGATCTAAAAGGGTAAAAAGAAGCCTGCCGAAAGTAAAAAGGAACAAAACTAACCTCTGAGGTAGAAAGCAACAAAGAGCACTGCAAGACCGCTGGAAGAATTACTCTTGAAGGATTTCACCGGAAAAAGCTTAGCACTGTTTTAAAAAGAGAGAGATTTGACTGATGATGGAGACGGTAAAAAGGCATGAAGTGGTATTCTAGAGCCTTATAAAGGCGAGGGGGACCCGAGGGCCGAAGCGTCAGGAAGGCAAGAAATTCATCGAGCCCCGGAACATTGATTCTAGATCTGACCGTCCGTTCCCCCATGTGGGTTTCTCGAGCCGTCAACGTCATGATGAGACGCCTTCAATAATTACCCCCTTATTAAACAAGGGGTAATTATGGGGGCAGTTGAGGAGGCCCGAGATGACATGGGCCGGATATGACTTGCAAACACGACATTCAGTCCGTACAGATGGGTCAGGCCCATAGAAAGACACTGCCATATGGGCCGAACGCGCATAAGCCCATCAAAGATGACCAAGACTCATGGAGGAACGGGCCTAGATCCAGCAGTCCATCAACATTTGTAAATATCTATAAATAGGAGAAGTAATGGAAAGAAAAGGGGGAAATATTCTTTTGGTTGAAATACAAGAATTCTAGAGAGAGAAAGAGGGAGGGAATTTCTTGTATCTTCAATATATATATATATATATATATATATATATATATATAAAAGCACCCTATGTATAGCAAATACCATATCGACTTATTTAAGATAGGACTAAAGAGGAGAGAGAGAGAATCTTTTTTTGAAAAAGATGGGAGAGAGATAATGATTTTAAGTATGATGAATTTTTCTTACATTTTTTTAACTTTGGTAAAATTTCCTTAGAGGATCCAACTCCGACACAAAAAGAAGAAATCTGAAATATTACCCAATAAATTATAGGATTTGGTGGCAATATGCTAGATATGGAGAAATTAGTCTAAATCAATCATGACGTGACACAACAATAGGTTAAATTGTAATAGAAGGGATATCATGTAATAATTTCTAGGTTTTTTGGAATTTAAAATGTTTTTAAAATGCATTACATTACTTGTGCGAATGTTAAAAAAAGTGTTTTTGAGGATCTTGTTATTTTTTTAACAATTTTTTATCTCTAAGCAGACCTTTGATTCGATCTCAATGAAATTTCGAGTATACGTACGAGAAAATATAATGGAATGAATATAATTGCATGTTCGTAAAAAATGGAATGTTATAATCGGCCAAGGGTATTTTTATACCTAACAACTCTCTTTTATTTTATTTTAAATCTATATATATATATATATATTTTTTTTTTTTAAATTAAATTATTTGATTTGTGTTACTCAAAAATAATATTTACATAATGGTATAGATTGTTTCATACTATCAAACCCATTAAATGAAAGATGAAAACATAAAAATAAAAAAAATATATTGATTATAAGGCTCTGTTTGGATTGAATGATTTAGAGGAATAAGGAAAGAAAATAATAATAAAAAAAAGATAGTGTGAAGTGTGTATGGGTTGTCTTAAGTGAATAGAAAATAAAGAATTCCCATATGCTATTATTTAAATAAAAAATTGGAAAGAAAGGATAGTGAATAACAAAATAAGTAATACTTTCATAATTCCAAAAGCATCCTCAACAATTAAAACAATAAATGTGTTTTGACACTTAAATCCCATCTTAAAAAAGAGTATGATAGTGGTTTGATTGTTATATTTTCTTTTCTCCCATGACCCATCTACCTTTTCCAAACAAGAACACTATCATTTCATTTATTTTCTTTTATAATTTATCCAACACATGAATAAAGGTTATTGCTATCATTTATTTTCTTTTATTTTCTCTCATAACTAATGTTTTTCATTTATTTTATTTTATTTTCTATTTATACAAATGAAGTCTAGGATCGATTTTTGTAATAATTTTTTAATAAAATAATGATTTCTTATACCTTTATTGAATAAATTGTATGCTAATAATGTTTGTTGAAGTTCTAATAATGCTTTGGTCTTGTAGTACTATTAAATTTACATGCCACGTATTTTGTTTTAGTTTTACTGATTTTTAAGTTTTCTTACTCTAGTGCCGTTCTCCAAACCTACAATTTAATTACTAAGGATTTTTTAAAAAGTATTATATTTAGAAAAAACAAAAAATTATAAAAAAAATGTAGTACAATTAACTTGACTTAATTTGCCCATAATATGCTCACAAACTTGGGTTGGGTTGGGTTGTGTAAATGTCTTGTTTTGATGTTGGCAGTTTTGTATCTTCCCAACTCCTAACGGCTAGTTTATTTATCTTGGGCCTGAATTGATTACTGGTTGGACTTGGGTTGAATCTGTAATGCTACATGGGTTGGCTTGGGTTTTAATTTTTGCCTATATTTGGTACAATAAAAAAGAAAAGAAAAGAAATACGAAGAATAATGTACTATTAACCACTCATTGCGTTTGATTAATTAATAAAAGAGAAGAAAAAAAATGATAATAATTATGTTTGAGAGAAAAAGAAAATGAAACTATTTAAACTAATTTACCACTATACCCTTTTATATTATAAAAGACAAATTTATATATTAAACCTGCAATTTATGAATATAACACTTATATGCTTTTTTCAAGTTTAAGCCAATGGAAGATATAAACATAAACTATTTATTTTTTCATAACATTTATTGAAAAAAAATCGGATTTTGTAAAATATTCATTCTAAGCTCATTTTAAGTTATCCACAACCTTAACTAATCCTTTAAAAATTCAAGCATAACCATTCAATAAATGGAATACTCCTACCCAATTTTATCTACAAACTTTATGTAAAGAATACCAAATATCATTTAGTTGTTGCCAAAAATAATATTAAAAATAAATATTATCTATTTGTTGCTAATATTAAATACCATTCTTCTCCAGACTCTAACTCAAAATAATAAAGACTATATATTAAATTTTGGTGCCTTCAGTAAATTTTGGTGGCTTTGTTTCCCACATTCACCAAAGTGAGTAAAATATGACTTATGATTCAAGTGTAATTTTAATTTTTTTTAAGGGTAAATTTAATATTATAAAAATTACATTAACCTCTCATTTTCTTTCTTTCTATTTCCATTCTACCAAAGCCTTTTAGGGCTTGTTTGATCCAGCGCCTCACACATGCTGAACAGAGAGAAAGGGAACCACTAGCCTTTGCACTACTCCTACACGTCGACAACGGAGTGTCTTGCTCGGCCGGCCAGCCAGCCTTGCCAGGTACCCAACCCCTCCTCTCTCTCTCTCTCTCTCTCTCTCTCTCTTTCTCTCTCTACATATATAGTATACACATATACATGTAATTATGTTTTTTCGCTCGCCAAAACCGAGTTTGTACTTTACCCAGTTCTTAGGGTTTAGTTGCTGAAGGAAAAATGTGGCTTTTAATAATTAAAAAAAACCTAAGTTGATAGAATTATAAAATTCTAACATTCACGTCTATGTCTCTTTTATGTATCTTTTCCACCGTGATTGATTATATGTAAAGTTTTTGAGCTTTTATTTTTTGAACCAGCAAATCCCCTATTTTCTTGTTCTCCCTCCCTCCCATATTAGTTGTTCATTTCAAAAAATTTGACTCACTGCTATCTTTTATTTTGAGTCAAGAGATTATTTTTAATCAAATTATTTTTATATACTTATATAAATTGTGAGTTAAAATATGGACAGACCGAGATAGTAAGGCTTCGTTTGGATACGGAGGAGAGAAAAGAAAAGAAAGGATTAGAAGAGAAAAGAAAAGAAAGGGAAAGAAAGGAAATGATAGCTATAATGTTTGGATAAATAGGAGAGAAAAGAAAGGAAAACATAATATACTTGTTTGGATAAAACAGAGGAGAGAAAAGAAAAGAAAGGATAATAATGAAATTACTATATTACCCTTTTATATATTTTGATAAATAATCATTCATAACTTGATAGCATACTGATTTTTTTTTTCTCTCCCTCAGTTTCATTGGAAACTAAAATTAATAATAACTAAAAAAACAAGATAACTTGATAGCATACTAGTGTTGTTGTTTTTTTTTTTTTTTAATAAGTAACTTGATAATATACATATAACTTTATAGCATACTTCGAAGATAGATAGAGATGGGTGTAAGATTTTTATACCACATTTTCTCATCTCTTCATAAACTTTAGGGTTTTTTTTTTTTTTTTTGATAATTAAAATAATACTAAATAATTAATACCAACTAAAAGTTAGTATATTCTTTATTAATAGACAATTTTACTATAAATCAATGTATACACGTAAGATATGCAATACATTGTTCAATTATGTATCAGATGCTTCTTAACTTGGATAAAAGAGTGCTACATATATATGGTTCTTCTATACCTGTAACACCACAAATATGTAGCCACACCCCTAATTCCCTGTGTTTAGATCAATATTTGCTTGTCCCTTACATAGGTAAACAAATTTTTTTAAAAGAAGAAGTAATATATATAAGTAAAAAATCACTTCTCAAACACTTCTCAATTGAAGACAGAATAGGCTCAATTCACAAAAAGTAAAATTATAACAAAACGACACAACAAATCACTTCTCAATTGAACACAATATAGCCTCAATTCACATCCAAGCTACATTCACACGCCTAGTATAACATAGTACACAGACTTTAATCCATTATAGTTTTTTGTTTCTACATTCACACGCCTACTCAGGAATTCATCAAGACCTTAAAAAAAAACATATGCCATCTTCAACACACCATACGAAGTTCTATAGAGCTTATATACCAAAAGCTCCATAACAAAAAAAATAAAATAAAATAAAATAGATACAAAAAAATACATAATTAAACTTAGACATAATACCAAGTTCTACTAATTGTTCCAAAATATTACCAACTTAAAAGACATTGTCAAAAGTTAGTATAACCGAAACCATTATCAACGTCAAGAATCATTGGACATCAGTTCCTCCAGGAGTATCTTGCGAAGCACAGGTGGGCAACCAATAAATTGTGTCATTCTCTCAGGATGGTCACGCTTAGTCAGAAAAATAAAGGCCTTAACAGCTGCATGCCCCTCTAATCCAATTTCCGCCAAAATCTTAAAGAGTTCTTCTTCATATTTTCCCTTTTGGTTGCACTTCTCATAAATATGGTTGAATGTTTTGTGAATATCATTTCCCTCTTTTAGAGAAGCAGCCACACCTCTCACTATTTCAATTATTTCATTATCTCCATCAACAGTCGAATAATTCCTTTTTCTCTTTCCTTTTGAAGAAGTGGAATGGGAAGGTGCACTTGAAGGTGTTTCAGGAGACATCATATTCATATTCTCAAACTCATGATCCATAAAAAATGTATTATCCAAACTTACTTCATTCCGGGACACCATGTGATCAATAGCATCAATGCTCTCCATTAGATCATCATTAGGACTTGACTCCCTTTCATTACTCTTCTCTTTTCCTTTTGTTGCCCAATCATTAATCCTCTCCTTAGCAGTGGCTGCATTAGACCCAGTTGCCCTATCCTTGCCAAATAAATCCAGCAACTTATCATAGTTACAAATTGGAGTAGTTTTCCATTTCTCCGCTGCTGGATTTGACTGTTGGCGAAACATAAAAAAAACTACATTATCATTATTTCAAGCTAAAACAAAGGCAGAATAAAATGTAACTATTAAAAGAAAAAATAAATAAATAAATAAATAATCTCAATTAAATAACTAACCTCAATTAATGAAGCCCAAACTTCAGGTTCAGCATACCACATTTTTGTTGCTTCACTCCAAGCAAACCCACTCAAACCAGTTTTGAATAAGTCAAAACACTCGTTAAATGTTTTCTTTATTGTTTTCAATTGATTCTTCACTTTATCTTTGTTGATATCGATACCTAATCTTTCTTTCAATTCATCAACAATCTCACTGTAAGCTTTTGTTGTAAATGTACCATCAATCATATTCCCCTTCACAAATTGATTGTGCAATGCATCTACAAAAATATCATCCATCTGTGCAGTCCAAACACATCTATCTCTCTTCGACCCACCACTTATGTTTAATTGATTACTCATTCTTATATCTACATAAAAACAAATACAATAGAAAGAAATGAAGGAAAAAATAAATCATTTAACTAAAGGTAAACAAAAACTGTATGCAAGGTAGGAGTTTATAACAAGCTATAATTAGCATTCTACATCTCCAAATGAAGCACTCTGACATAAAATAAGTTACAGAAAAATTAAACATAAGCAAATAAGTTTTAAGTTATTGCAACCAAATAAAACATTTCAAGTATCACACATGATTAGCTACATAGTCATGCCACATGTGGGAAGTTATTGAATCTCTCAAGTGTTCTCCCAAACTATGATCTTCACTTCTTTCCATTGGACCATGCTCTTCATGTGGAGTTTCATTTAAGAGCTCCCGATCTACTTCATTAAAAAGGCTTTCATCCGGATCCATACCCATTAAATAGTTGTGTATGATGCAACAAGCTAAAATGATATCAACTTGAGTTTTAACATCATATGTTGGTTCAGTACTGCTTCCTATGATAGGAAATCGTTTCTTCAACACACCAAAAATTCTCTCAATAACATTGCGCAATGATGCATGTCGAAGGTTGAATAACTCTCTAGGATTCTCTGGTCGGCGTGAGGCATATTCTTTTAAATGATAGCGCACACCTCTATAAGGCGTGATAAGTCCAGCCTTTAATGGGTACCCGGCGTCAGCAAGATAAAATTTTCCTATTAAGAATAATAGTAATTAATATTTGCTTCGTATTAAAAAAAATATCTTAAAGATTTTAGTTAATGATAACAAAAATTACCTTCCGGAAGTATTAATTTATCTCCTTGTCTTTTTAGTGCACTAGCCATAACTCTTGAGTCTGAAGCGGTACCCTCCCATCCAGGTAAAACATAGGTAAATTTCATGTCAAATGAACAAGCTGCTAACACATTTACTGTTGGATAATTTTTCCTACCACGATATCTGGGTGCATCTTCGTTAGATACTTTCACACGAACGTGTGTTCCATCAATTGCCCCAATGCAATTCTGAGATAAAATCATTATAATAAAAATTTTATGTAATAGTTTATAAAATCGTTAAAATTGAAGTATTAAGTTAAGTACTAATCATGTTCACCTTGAAATATGGATGAAACCTATCGTTATTGAGTATTTCTGGGGGGACGTCCAATCCACTAGGTTGCTTGAGGAACTGTCCTTCCAATGAGATTACTGCTTTTAACACACTATGAAAATGACGGCTTATGGTTTCACCAGAGCGACAAAAGAAAAATGACATTGTCCGATTCCTCACATTATGTGATATAATGTGCAGAAATTTAGCAACTTGCTCTTCAACACGTGCACGTTTTGTGGGTCGAAGACCACCATCTCTTATAAGCATCTCACAGAAATTTTGAAAAGCTTCTGGTCCCATACGAGTAATGTTACGACATTTCTCACTTACCCTAAGCTCGTTCATTAGTTTATCCCGTGTTATTTGTCTTTCAATCTCTGATTGTGTAATAGGTTTATCTACATAGTTTCTACGTTTTTTACGCTTAAACCAATACACGGCAAGGAGAATGACTAGAGTTGCAATTTGGCGTCGTCTTTGTACCCACATAAGATGGAAACGCAGTATGTCATTTTGTTGTTTGTCCATCTAAAATTGTAAAATGCAAAATGATATATTAATAACCAGAAAAAAATGTAGTACTGTTACTTTTTGTATGAAAATAATGCATCAAATTAATGCACAATTTTGAAAAAAGAAAAAGAAAAAGAAAAAAGGAAAAAAAGAAAAAATAAACAGACCAGAGTATACAAAATTACAAGTGAAAGAGAATATGGGTATTGCTTTGTAATTATTAATTGATGTCATCAGTGAACTAACTCTATCAAAGTTGTTTGAAAGATAACTGACTCAAACTAATGTCATTATGGCTTCACATTCCTAAGTTACTTGTGGGATTTGAATTCTTGTCTTTAAGACTATGTTTAACCTAGAGAGAGATGTCATTTTCACCATTATAGTTGTTAGATTTAGGTATAAGTTAAGATATGAAAATATCAAATGTATATAACCTCAGTTTTAAGAACAAGGATAAAGAAAGAAAATAGAGTTCATTTAATGCACTAAAAAAATCTAAAAATTTTAAACCATCAAGTTAATTAAGTACTGAACTCAAGAGCTTGAATTTCCTCAAGTTCATTTAACGAGATTTGTTTGCTACCTAAAATATGCATTCCTCTATGTATGCTGCTTAGTTATTGTACTTCTATTTTTTAAAGAAATCACTGTCAGTATGTGGTATCTCTAGCTCCTTGCATAGGACTTACAAGCTTGAACATCACACATTCACAGCTTTGTGACATTCACATGAAATATTTTCTCTAACTTACAGGTTGAAAAATCAACTTTCAGTTCTATTATAATTCACATCAGAACGATTCAAGTAAAACGGGAAAAAAATAAATATATAAAAAAAAATTAAGTCTCATCATGAAACATTACTGTAAATAAGGAACAAACATAAGTCGATATTTATCCACTCAGCTACTCTACATACCCAAAAAAAAAAAAAAAAAAAAAACTGTTGTTCTTCTCTAGGCCTTGATATAATAAAATTAAGTCGAGCGTAAGTTCATGAAGGTTAAAAATTTATTGGAGATTCATAGGGTGGAAATTTCATTAAACGACTTAAAGATGTGTTACAAGCAATAAAAGGTAAGAAGAAAACCAAATATCACTAACAAATTCAGGATGCAATAAGCAGAGGTATGGGCTGTATGGCATGAGTACTTGCATATAAACCACAAATCAATATCGAATATGATGCTATTAGAAATCACATATTTGCAATTTAACAAGGAAAGACCTCTCCATACTTGATTGATGGCCCTCAACTTGACTTGTTTCCCAATTAGCATAATACATATTTTGTATATCCTTTTACATGCTACATTTATTATCCTTAAACTTCCTAACAGATAGATGCTCATGTAGTAAAGAAGTATCTGACTCTGAGTGGTTGATCACAATATACATGGAACACAACAACACATCTTAGTGCTTATTTGGCTTCCAAATGCAAAAAATGCAGACACTGAGTGCCTCAGAACTCAGACCTCTTGTAGAAGAACCTTATATATCCACTACGACACAATATGGGGTAACAGATTTGTTAATTCTATTACAAGAGTGCCTCAGAACTCTTGCCTGTAACTTGAGATAGGGCAAACATTTAGCACCAATGAAGCAAGGGAATTTTGTAAGCAGAATTAACTAAATGAAGAATCTCCAGTCTGCCAGATTTGCAAAATCAGTGAGAAATAGATTCCTGACAGATGCTACAGTAAAAGACATTTTGCTGTAAACTAAACCTTTGTCTGGCATCAACATGTATAGTTCCAAATTCTTTCAGATTTTGCAACGTTGACAACATTGAGCTGGGGAAAAAAGAGAGGCATTTGGAGATAAATGTACCCGTAGTTAATGGAGTTGGTATCACATATCTGATGTGATGCAACTAAAAATTACTAAATCAATAAATATCAACAAAGTATGGGATGCATCAAAACTTAAATTCTGTGCAGCGAGTTAGCGTATGTATATGTTTCTACTGTGTACCTTTGCATCCCCTATTGGAGCATAACATGAAAATATGGGGAAACAATTAAATAAATGGATTCAGTAACTGTTCAAATTTTGAATTGAGATGAGAATCATGACGACAAAGTATCAAGATACTACAAAAAGATGGAGAAGCGGGAAAAAACCAACAAATCAATTATAAAATCTGTAACAAGTAGTACCCCATACTTAAACATCTAGCCTTAAAGAAGTTCAATCTCTATAATAAGTGTCACTATGAGTTAATGTAATACCTGAGGAGAAACTAACACCACTTGAAGAAGCTTGTTCTGTGGGGTTTCACAGATTGCGTCACCAATGCCGTTAGGCAGAGAACTGTCCTGGCCTATTTCAGCTGCAAAACAAAAACAATTCTATTACATTACAACAATGAAATTCACTGGTTGAATAAAAAAGCAGAGCCAAATACACTGAATTGGAAGCATCAAAATCACTTGATATGTTTGCATAGCATATATATATATATATATAGATATATGTCCCTGTTTCAGCAGTCATCATTTCTGTTAATGACTCCTCTCTTGCTAAACCAAAATCCACAAGTTTTACTGTTTTCTGGTCTGCAGTAAAGATTAAGTTTTCTGCAGTAGTTTATAAGTTCTTCATTAGCAATTGTTTCCATTTACTTATTTATTTAGATAAACATATGTATGTTTAAAGATTGTAAAAGGAATATTCAACGGCACATCCCACACTCTCTTTTTGGTAATTGAGACGACTACCTACACCTCATGGTAACAACATCAACAAATTTGTTCATAGATCAAGTTAGAACTTGCAATCCCTTAGACTCAACCTAGAAAGAAAATAGTTCCAGTAGATATATGACCATATTAATTTTGTTCATCAGATCGATATGCTCCCAAGTACCTGTAATAGTGTTCAATTTGCCAGAACCAATCTGTCCTTCCTATAATATCGGAATTTTTAGAACGAAGTCATTACCACAAAACAAAATACAGACATAAGTCTCTGAAACTTTCACCTTTTCATGCCAAGAATCGGTGCATAACTACTAAACATTGGATACAAAGAAAGCACTATTAATAGAAATAAATCACCAAATCTATGAATATACATTTGCTACTTTATTTCATACTTTGGTCATACTCTGATCTCTCTAGAGCCTTTATATAAATGATTCATAAACATGACTCAAGTCAGCAAAGACCTATAAAAATGCATCTATGAACTTTTAACAGGGAGCAAAAACAATGATTGGAAGTGATTTCAATGAAGTACTTCAGAAACTCTCCAATGATCCGGAAGTGTGAACTGATGGATCTTCCAGTTTCAAAATATCGAAATTGAATCCAAAGGCCTTTTCTAGCATTTGACTCTTTTTCCTCGTACTATTTTATAAATTGGGTATTATATCAATTATTCAGTAACTACATAGATTCCATCATGCAAAGCTACAAACTAGCGTGTTTGAATTCTTTAAAAAAAAAAAAAAAATTCATAGCTGATATCTTTCAACATGAATGTTCATACAAGTTTGCTTGCTTGAGAATAAGACATTTCCATGAATCCGATTTCTCATGCATAACATTTTTATACCGCATGAATTCAATGTACCAACATTGGAAATGAAGGAATTACCAGGTTTCAGATCACGATGTATGATCCCATGAGAGTGCAGGTGAGTTTTTGTTGGAGACGCAAGAGAAGAGGTTAATACCTTGATGAGAGAAAGCAGGTGAATTTTTGTTGGAGAATCAAGAGAAGACGAGCGGCGCTTTGCAGATGCGAGAGAAGAGGATTGAGAAGCTGCTGCCCTAAATTGTATATAGAAATTGGAAGGCTAATTCTGTCTTTGTCATCCTTTCCCCTCAAATCCTCTCAAATCTTCTCAACTTTGAGAGGATTTGGTTTTACTGTGCTGAAGGGATTTGGAGGGATAGCCTATCCCTCCAAATCCTTCCAAATCATTTCTTTTCTTCTCAATTCCCTCCACCCAAACACACTAAACTCTATCCTTCCCTTTCTTTTCTCTCCAAATCTCTCCAATTCCCTCAATCCAAACAAAGCCTAATTGTTTTTAGATTTTTACCTGCTAATTTTCTAAAAAAAAATAAAAATTTATATGCTTTTTTTTTTTTTTTCTCTCTAATCTTAAATTGGTCTTATCTAACAAGTAATAATTTCATTGGAAATTTTTTATTGCAAATAAATTCATGCAAGAAGATTTATTCTCCTTTAAATCAACCTTTGGTTAGTTCATTTTTTCATCATATTTTCTTGCTAACCAATCGAGCTGGTTGTAGAGGAAAAAGTTTTCCTCATAAACGCTTAAAATTTTGACCTTTAGCCTGATGGAGCATGGCACAATTGGAAAATTCTAATATTTATGGGTGTCTTTTATATATCCATTCCATTCGAGCTTTTATGATTCTTTATAGTAAAAAAAAAAAAAGCTTTTACCTTTTACAGGTGCCTCAGTGTTGTGGGAGTTGTTAATATGAGGACAGAGATGGATGAGGTTTGCATTCCGACTTCAGTTACTTCAGTGATTGTAGTCGGTTTAAAATTGTTTCCTTTTGTCTTTTATTTTTTGTATATATTTCTTATTCCAACCTTACATTCAAGCGGATTTTACTCATATTTTGACCCTGATTATGAGTATTTCCACTCTAATAGCTTACCTTCTTCTCTAATTGGTTGTTTTCTTTTTCCATATATATTAACTACGTGTTTAATTCTTAGGAATTATATGGTCTCTTGTGTTGTTTCATCAGGCTTAATGCTGACTTTGTTCTAACGATGACAGGATTGGAGTTGTATCATTAAGGGTGAAAATAAAATTAAGAATAGCATTGTTCGAGATGATGAGGATGAATTCATTACCCTTTTGGAGAAGTCATTGGTCATAAATTCAGGGGGCATGGTTAAACTGAAGTTCGGTGAATCTGAAGTGTGCCCTTACGAACTTTTGGCATTTATCTGCCATCATCGTGCGGTAACTTGTGGCACGGCACTGGTTAAAGGGAAGACGGATCTTAAATTGGATCTTAACATTCCGATCATCCAGGGAGCTTTCCCGCTGCATGTAGCAGCTTCTTCATTATCTTTTCACTTAATTGAGTTATTCCTCCTCCATGGTGCACGACCCAATGTCCAATGTGATGCAAATGACTTGGAGCACAATGGGTTGCTCCCTCTCCATATGGCACTTGAAAGAGTAAGGTATAACTTAGTTATCACACTATGCATTGTGATTTCTTGGTCCTTTTCTGTAGAGATCTTGTGAACATTTTTCATAATTGTATCTTTTTTGTTTTACTTCTCATATTTTATTTTCATTCCTTGTGTAGATATCTCGCTCGGTGGACTCCTAGAGAATCCGTTTTCAAGTTGATCATCATACTTTGCCTTCCAAAAATGGTTCATTCTTTACCGAGAATCTGATGTGTAGGTTGCACAGTATACGTTTTATTTATAAATGTTTGAGTTAAAGTACAGAGCAATTTTCCAAGGGTTGCTTATTCTTGTCTGGTTTACTTTACACGTGGCAGAAAGAAGCATTGGAGACTATAGGTTGCTTGCACATAATACAGAAGAGATCAAGGAGGTAATTCGCTATTTTGCAAAGGATGGCAAACTCATTGAGCTGGCTGTTCTTCTAATGGTAGCTAGGGAAAAGGTTATGGATTCAATTACATTTGAGAGCGTCGAACTTTTCACTTCAACTGGATGCATGACATTACATCAATGCATCCAACTTGAACTTGCCGCACTGATTAATTCTGAGTACAGATTAATGTACAAAAAGGAAGACAAAAAGTTGGCCCAAATATGTAAGAATTTGAAGGAGGCAATGATATATATGCTACAGTTACTCGAGATTTTTGAGAGGGCTGGGGATGCTATTGAGACTTATCTTCAGTTAGAGCGAACTAATGTAAGTTGTAATGACACATTTTTTTCTTATATTCATGTGTTGGTTAATATTTGCCATACAGAGAAGATCTACATTGTGTTCGGTGATGCATATTAGCACTTATTTTGCTTTGATCGCTTGGAGATTTACGAGTAGATGGGACCACTTTTTTCCTTTCCTTTTTTGTCCTTCCATTTTGGTTGCTCATTTGTTTTGTAACCAAAAAGTTTATTTGGGATACAACAACAACAACAACAACACAACAACAAAAAAACCTTTTCCCCAACTACTTGGGGTTGGCTAGAGTCCTTTTTTCCAATTCCACTCTTTCCAAGGCCATAGCCTCAGTCAAACCACATCCGATTTTATCCTTCTCTACTAACTCTACCCACGTCAACTTTCGTCTTCCTCTTCCCCTAGTATTACCCTCAATATGGAGGACTATGTTACCCTTCTCAATTAGCACATTTAAAGGTTTTCTTTGCACATGTCCAAACCATGTTAGCGATTTGTCTCTTAGTTTATCTCCAATTTATACCACAACCATCTCCCGAATGTGATCATTTCTAAATATATCCTTTCTAGTCTTACTGCAAATCTATCTCAACATTTGCATTTTCGCCACACTCACTTTATGCATATGTTGTTTCCTAGTTGCCCAACATTTGGTGCCATAAAGTATTGCTGGTCTAATAGTGGTTCGATAAAATTTCCCTTTCAATCTTAAGGGGATACGCTTATCACACAATATACTAGTTGCTCTCCTCCATTTAACTCATCTTGGCTTGATTTTATCATTAACATGTTCCCAATTTCTCCTTCATTATGAATAATTGAACTTAAATAACAAAAATATTCACTTTTTTATACCTCGTCATTCTCAATCCTTACTACATCCTCATTTGTATTTCTAGATTTACTAAAGTCACACTCCATGTATTCAGTTTTGTTTCTACTTATTTTAAACCCTTTTAATTCTAAAGTTTCTATCCAAACCTCCAATTTGCCATCAACTCCTCCTCTAGTCTCATCAACATAAAGAATATCATCGGCAAATAACATACACCATGGAATCTCATCTTGAATGTGTGTGTCTTGTTAGTTCATCCATAACCAAGGCAAAAAGGTTTGGGCTTAATGGTGGCCTTTGATTTAAGCCTACATTGATGGGAAATTCACTTGCTTCTCTACAGACATTCTAACTATAGTCACACAACCGTCGTACATTTCCCGTGTTAATGTATCCCTTTGCGACTCCTTTCTTTTCTAAAACCCTGCATATTAGATCTTTAAGTACCCTATCATAGGCTTTCTCCAAAAAAAACAAAAAAACATATGGAAATCTCTCTTCTCTTTGTATCTTTCCATTAGTCTCCGCAACAAGTAAATAGCCTCTATCATTGACCTTCCTGGCATGAATCCAAGTTGATTTTTTAGGCATCGTTTAATCACTCTCTCCCAAAGTTTACAGTGTGACTCATGAATTTAATACCACAATAATTATTACAACTTTATAGCATCAAGTCTCAGGATCGATTCCCGCCAGGTGCAAACAATTCCGTCTGTGTGTGTTGGGGGGGGGGGGGGTGGTTTGGTGTTATTATTATTTTGTTAAACAATTTTTTAAACCAAGACAAGCCAACTTGTGCTACACACTTCCAAACCTCAATAGGAACGCCATCAGGCCCTTAAGTCCTTCCTGATTTCATCTTCTTTAAGGCATTTCTAACCTCCCACTCCTTGACCCTATGGAAAAGTATGTTTTCTCTAAGGTTTTTTTTTTTTTTTTTTTTTTATAAGTAAGAAATGCATTGAAAGCGTTCAAAAGGGGAACCCATCCCAAGAGAACAAACACAGGGCTAAAACAACCCTTTAAGCCTTCGAAGAGGCCAAGAAAACAACAATATCCTCAGAAGATCTAAAATCTCTACCCGAAACCCAACAAAAAAGAGTGGAAAGAATAGAGAATTTAAGAAAAGAAATAGGCCTCTCCTTTCCCTCAAAATATCTTTTATTCCTCTCCAGCCAGATGCACCACCACACACAAAGAGGCGTAGCCCTCCAAGCATCACGAGCATGGACCCCTACAGAGAACCCTCTCCAAGCCTCAACCATCTGTCTAGAAGAGCGAGGCATAACCCAATAGAACCCAAACAAACAAAGCATCAAGTCCCAACATTCCTTAGCCACGGGGCAATGAAGAAGAAGATGATCCACTGTCTCATTATCCTGAAGACACATGAAGCACCGATTAACCACCACCTGATTCCTCCTTCTCAAATTGTCTTGGGTCAAATTTTTACCCAAAACAGAGGTCCAAGCAAAAAAAGCCACCTTGAGAGGAGCCTTAGAGCGCCAAATAGACTTCCACGGGAAGGATCCTCCAGGCTCAGCTGTAAGACACCTGAAGAAGGAACGAACCTCAAAGCGACCTTGCGGATTTGGCTTCCAAATCCAACAATCAGAATCACCAGCCATAACGCTCTGACGATACAACGCCTCCAACAAAAGAGTGACATCCTCGACCTCCCAATCTTGAAAAGGACGCCTGAATCGAACATCCCAAACCAGTCTCCCATTATCAAGACAATAACAGTCAACCACCTTGGCTTGTTTATCCGAAGCCATCCTAAACAACCGAAGGAAAGCGAGGGCAAGAGAAACCTCCCCACACCAAACATCTTCCCAAAAACTGATCCGCCTGCCATCCCTAAGTCTAAAACGAACATGAGTGGAAAAGACAGTCCACCCCTTCCGAATAGACTTCCAAACTCCCACACCCCTCGGGCCACACACCTCAAGAGAGCACCACCCTCCTCTACCTTCCCCGTATCTACTAGCAACAACCTTCCGCCAGAGCCAGTGCCTCTCCGCTCCAAACCTCCACAACCATTTTCCAAGGAGAGCTTTATTGAAAGGCACCAATTTACGAAGGCCCAACCCACCATAACGAATCGGCTTGCACGCTTGCTCCCACTGAACCAAATGAGACTTAAACTCCTCCCCTCTTCCCCCCCCAAAGAAAATTGCGTTGCAACTGTTCAATTCTCTCGGCAACAGAGAGGAATCTGAAAAAGTGAGATGAAATAAGTAGGAAGACAAGAAAGGGTACTTTTAATCAGAGTAACCCGCCTCCCTTTAGAGAGATATTGCTTCTTCCAACCCGCCAATCTCCTCTCAAATTTGTCCACAACAGGATCCCAAACCCCCACACACCTCGAAGGAGTTCCCACTTCCCAGAGGGAGCCCTAAATAGGAGATAGGAAAAGAGCCAGTATGACAACCAAGAATGCCCGCAAGCGAAGCTAACTCAGGCACCTCCCCTACTGGCACCAAAACACTCTTGCCAACATTCACCTATATTGATCCAAGACTAAACTTCTTGTATGGTTTTCATTTATCAAAATTTCAAAATAACTTATCCAGATTTCTTTAATTTCATCGTCTTTTACTGAAACCTGTGAATCTTCACTCTTAATACATTTAATATGGCTAAAATCTCTAGTTTTCCTCTCCCTTAGTTTTGCAAGTTTATGTATATTCTTCTCTCCTTCTGTTGTGTTTAGTTTGGAATAACAATCATCATATGCTCTATGTTTTGCTTGACTTGCTACTTTTTTAACTTCTTTAGTTACCTTTTTATATTTCTCAAAGGTTTCACTATTTTTGGTTTTTTGGCAAAAAAAAGTTTACTTACGATCCTGATTCTGTAATTTATTCTCTTTTATGATTAAGTGCATTAATTTGATAAAAAATTTATACAATAGTTCTTTATTTCCTTACAGGTCCCAAAAGAACAGGTTACCCAAGAGGTTGCCAGTCTACTTGCTGTAGCGGGCTTTAAATTGAAATCCAGAGAGTCTGATCTAAGCAATATAGTAGAATGGTTATCATCTTTATTTTCCGCTCTACTCATGTTTGATTTTGTTTTCCCAGCCTTTTGATCACTTCGAGAAAAAATAAAATGACAAAAAGCGACTAATCAACAAAAAGAAAATGATGAAAAGACCCTCAATTGTTAAGCAATACTAACGAATTTTCTCTACTTGTCGTGGCATGTACACTGTACTTGCTTTGTGATTGCAAAAGCTGCCCGGACAAGCTGGTCTTGGAACACTCGAGTGATCCTGTCAAGGAAAGAAAAGGACAATCAGGTCATTAGTTGATTTCTTCTTCAAAAATTTAATGCTGCTTCATTTCATTTTTTTAAGGGGAAAGGAGAAAATTAGAATTGAACATGCCAAATTAATATTCTCTTGGTTTTATTATTTCCTTCTGTACAAGTGCCTGTGCAATTTGGATCTAATCAGTGCTATGTCGGTGCAGTGTTCTCACAATCAAATGTAAGAAATTAGATATATAATTTGTGTTTCTTTTTCTTTTTCATATTTCTCTTAAATTTTGTCCTTCTACTGATTAATCCTTTTAAAGTGTTGGTGTAACTGGCACCTTTCTGTAAATATGTTGATGATTAGATTATATGGAAATATTATGTTTTCTTCTTTTTAATGTTAAAGAATAATAGCAACACAAACACCACACATTTTGTTGCCGCCAAGCAATTAGTTGTCTGCTCATCCCTATATTAATTTTATACTTGTTCAACCGGATTGACTTAACACCTTCCTCCCTTCTTAGAAAAAGCCAACACATAGTCTGCCAAATAAGACCTGGAGGTTGATTCATACTCGCTATTCGATTGGGTCCTCGGCTTTATCTTCTTCTATCCTGCCGATGCATGTATCCTGGAACCGGAAAGCCAACTTCTGTTCAGGGATTCCTAAAACTATGGGCAGTCAATTGAATGAGAGATTAAAAGGAGAAGGGCAATATGTGGGGAAATTTTCTCCAGTCAAGCAATTGGCTAATTTTGTATTAGTGGTCAAGAGGGGGATAAGATTCATATGACTCTCAAGCCTTTTTATTTTAGAGTTCTTATTCCTTTCGAAGTTATGACTTATGATTCGTTTACTGTTTAGACATGTGCAAGTAATTGGTTTTATATTCGAAGTTGTGACTTATGATTCATTTACTGTTTATAGTTCTTGATGGATTTTTTTCACTTCAAGTTTGATGTGCTATTTAGCTTTCCTTGTTTTTGGTAGTTATGTTAGATTTGAATGCTCATGTTGCTTACTGGCAAAAGTTGTTCTCTGCATATGAAGAGAGAATTGGTTAAGAGTGGCCTCTTGATGCAATGCAAATGGAAGAGTACTTTCTTCAAATAGTTGAAGATCCTTAGAAGACTAGACTGTGTTTCCATTAATAGATGCATCTGATAGTGTGACCAGATTGTGTTTATTAATGGGTCTTGAGTTATTTATCTCTGTTTTAAATATGTTTTTATTTATTTATTATTTTTATGTTTAGGATATTATTGTCATTTTGGTTTTATTTTATAAGTCACGTGCCTTTTAAGTTGAGTCATATGACCACTTATGGACTGTTTTGTTATTTTTTATCTATTGATTCTGCTGGATTGAATATTAGCCTTTAGATTACATCTATACTAAGGGTTAGGATTAAATTTTTGTTAGTGCATCCCTTGTGTCTTATAAAAGGGTTGTTCCCGGTTGTATCAACAAAAATATATTGTCTGCTACAACAATTTTTTACCTCATTCTTTGAAATTGAAGTTGTTGGTGTTTAAGCTATTATTTTAGTTTGGATTAGATCTTTGTTTTTCCCTTCTTCAAATTTATTCTTTTTCCTTCACATTTATTATTTTAGCTGATTGCATTACCTTACAGAGTATCTCCAACCGTTGTGTATATTTTTTTTGTGTAAATCTGATGTGTCATGATGAATTTATAAAAAAAATTTGAATTATTTAATTTTTGCTCCAACGGTTGTTTTGTACCTTTTGTGTAAAAATACATCTCCCAATAATAATCAACCATGTGTTATGTCAGGATCCACATACACATGCTAGTACTCACATAAATTTTACAAATTTACTTAATATATGGTTGATTCTTTAATAGAATGAGAAAGAGGAATGAAAAAGGAAATTTGTTGATTTGGCAGTGTAAAAAGGTTGTGTAAAATACATAATTCTTTTACACATTGGTGATGTGGCAATGTAGGTTAATAGATTGTTGAAGATGAAAAAAATTTACACATTATAGGTGGCATAGTATATTTTACATAAAAAGGATATTTTAAAATACCGTTAGAGATGCTCTCATGTAATGAGCAATAACTAAAATGGAGATATGGATAGATAGAAATGTGCCCGTTCTATTATAAACTTAGGAAGCAATAACACAAAATAGGTGTTGAGAATTTTTAAAGTATTGTAACAAATATTATCAAATTAGTTCAACTAAAATTAAGATTGTTTTGAATGGTGGTTTGTTTCCTTCTTGATGTAGACCTAAATATGTTCAGTTTGAGTAATTTTGTTTTTAATGAAATATGCAAATTATACTTTGTTCCATCCATTATGTTTTATATTAATATATTTTAAAGAAAATAATTTTGGGTCAGTTGTCTCAGGTTTGTAGGACAGAAAAATATTTTTGTCGATTTTATTTCTTCGTTTTTCAAATTTATTTTATTTTTATTTTTTCAGTATTTGACAAAGGTTTAGGTCAAGGTTGAAATCGAGTCCATCGGGCAGGGTGTGTAAAATAACTTGTGGAAAACTGATGAATAAGTTATTTATATATATATATATTTATAAATATTTTACAACAATCAAAAATAAAAAAACATTTTCTAAAAAATATTATCCAAACAAACAGAGCCTACATGTAGTGTCTACCCTAATTACTGTTCATTTGAATATTTATATGAATGTAAAAATGAAGGTTCGTAATCCACGTGGTGAGATTAGTGAATTTTTTTGTAAAAATGAAGATTCGTATTACAAGTGGATATATATATTAGAAGTGGTGAGATTAGTGAATTTTACCAAGGTCAGCAGACTCAGCACCAAGCTTGAGACGTTGTGGATGGGGACGTCTACCACCACCTAAGTCTGAATATGATTCATACTGGTAAGAGAAGTTTTATTTTTAATATTTAAATCTATCTATATATACATATTTTTTGTTTTGTTTTATAATGATATTTAATCTTTTTCAGTGAGATATTTTCTGTTGCAAGGAGTTATCCTAACTTCACGTTCAATCACATTTTCCGGGAGAGTAACAAGGAAGCTGATTTGCTTTGCAAAATAGAATTGGCAAAAATCAGAGGAGAAGATTACCAGTTTGGAGAATCAGCTGGATGATTTGATGGCTCAATACGAACTAGAAAGACTAGAAAGAGTGGATTTTCGCATTCTGCCAAGACCATGAGTTGGTCTGGATTATGAGTTGTTTCATTTACTCTAAAGTTGTAATTTTTCTTTTTTTGGCATTTTGGATTATGTGGTCCTTGTTATGGAGGAGTAAACTGTATGGGCATGACCATGATTGCGAGTTGGTCTGGATTATGAGTTGTTTCATTTACTCTAGACCTTATATATATAAATTTTGCATTTTGTTTCATATATTTTGTTATTTGTTATTTGTCAAAAATTCGTTTCTTCCTTTATTTCTAAAATTCGTTTCTTCCTTTATTTTTAATGTTTTTCACAATAATAATCATAAGTGGAAAAGATATAACATTGAGTACAAAAATAGTACTATTATACAACATATGAGAGTGATGTCTCTTCATTCTCGAATCCTTCGTTTCTTTTTTTCTCTCATTCACTCCTTGCCAAATATAAAGAATTAGAATTAGGAGATTTTCATAGATTAACACTAGCTTAAGTTTGAATTTTCCACGTCTTCTGGTGGAGGCTTCACATACTTGCCTAACTCTTTTTTGACAAGCCTGTTTCTTCATTCTCGCTTCCACCTCTTCTGGTTTGGCGAGCCTGTTTCTTCATTCTTGCTTCCACCTCGTCTGGTGGAGGCTGAACATACTTGCCTAACTCTTTTTGGCGAGCCTTTTTCTTTATTCTCTCTTCCCTTTCCCTCTGTTTCTTTGATTTTTTTCCCTCTCATAGACTTCTTGCCAGAAGACTTCACTTGTCAACACAGCCACCGTTTCCTAGAGTTTTCAGAATCTGACTCCTCAGCCAGGTCCTCCTTAACCATATTCTTAAGGGCACTGCATGAGAACCATTTGCATCACTCGAGTCTTTGGGTTGAGATACACCATCCGCCTTCTGCTATAGAATGCCTGGGTATTATTAAGTAGTTCATGCACCCGATGGTAGCAATGCCGATCCTGCTAAATCAGGAAGCCAGTTCCAATAAAATAAACTTAATGAAAATTAATTATAAAAAAAAATTATGCGGAAAGAAAAGAAATAATTGCACAATCATCCTACTCAAATTATTTGCAAAGAGCACATTTGGAGATCACATAAAAAAAAAAATTCTTTTTGTTCCTCACCCAATTTATTTTTATAATTTCCATGTTGCTTAAACAATGGACATTGGACTTCAATAACTCAACTCACTTGTTTTACTTCATATCAATTTGGTAACATATGCTAGCTAGACCATTATAAATTTGACTAACTAGGTGGTTAAACTTTTATGGGAAGTTGTTTCGGTTTGGGATGGGAATCCGAATTGTTGGTTGAAGTTTACCCATCATAACTAAGGTAAATATTATCATTTGAACTAAAACTAAATCTGAGTCATTCCATAGGTTGGAGTGTTCAGATGAACATGATCAAGCCATACTTGTCTCCTGCAGTTTTGATTATAATCTTAGTCTTAAAAATAAAATTTGTAAAGACAGAAGAATAGAAGATGACCAAGAATGAACAGAAGAAAACAGATATTCTATCCTGCGAGAACTCAAAACCAATTATTCAAAATAAAAGCAGGTTACCTTACAAAAACTTGGGTAATAGTGACCACTTTCATGGTGCTCATCAGAGATTTGTGAGTCCAGTGCATCCACAAACATTCTGCAAATGAGATGGCATCCAAATCAATAATCTCATAAGTGGAGAAACTCTTGAGAAAGAAGTCCTATTAAGAAATGAAATAAACAATGAATGTTAATTAAACTTTCTAACCACAAAAAACATTATGAACTCTAGGAAGGACCAGGTTGGAAAAAACCCAGCTGTGCATGACAGAACAAGTATCTCCATTTACTGACATGGGAGGGAGACAATTCTGTTCATGCTTTATGCCATATATCTTCTAAGGAGTATTATAAAGAACAACTTAACCGCTATGACCAGTTTTACTTGCAATTCCCAGCATTAATTGCATCGCAGAATGACCAAAAATCTGTTGCAATGGGTTAATTTCTTGGATCTACCTCCATGGGAACCCAAAAGTAGAGAGTGCACCATGCTTTCGTGCTTGGATAGCCTCTAACAGTGCATTTTCGACCGTCTTAGACAAAGATTCCTCTATTTAAGCTGCCACATTATATATGAAACTATACTATGTTTAATATACAAGCATAACTGTAACTGTATACTTTTTTTTCCTTCCAATTTTTGTGAGCTCCAGACCAAAGAATACTTCAAAGCTGGTATTTCTGGGATAAAAGTAATCTACCAACCAGATGGTTTTGGACATAGTACCTTAGATTTTTCTATAAAACATGCCAAGATTTTCTTTCTTACTGGATCTAGAAACCACAGTACTTACATAATTCTCTGAATGATAAGTTGCATTGTTAAAAGTCAATAAAGAGTAGGCCATTCAAAATGAATCACCATAGTGTAACTGTACCACAAGAATGTTGCAGTCCTAGTTTCTTAGCAACAAAATGTCGCTGAATTTGTTGGTCTTCTAATTATGAAATTTGTTATATGAATATATACATGACATTAACTTCATATCTTAACAAATATTTGAGAGCACTAGGTAGATTCTAGAAGAAAAATAATTCTATTGGTCTGCGTTGGTTAGCTCTTCATTATTAATTGTTCCATCCAATTCCCACAGGCCACCAACATCAGCCAAGGGCCATGCCACGCCGTTTGATGCAATGGAGTTAAATCCCTTCAACCCACAACATCAAAAGAATCAGGTTCAATATAATATTCTGATAAA